AGAGGTCCAGCGATAACGCATAACGGATTAATTCAATTTATTTTGTACGCATATATAAAACTATATAAACTCTATGGAATGTGTATGGAACAATTGAGAAAAAGCAACTATATTTGGCTCCAAAGGTTCAATTCCAACCAGCAAGGCATCATTTCTTACCGCAGCAGTTGATACTGTAAATGACAGCGTTGTCGAGACCCAGGCCTTTCTCTGGATTAATGGGATCTGCGGTCTTCTTCATTGTTAACAGTCCAGTTGGTTTGGAAATTTCGTCGGTCTCCGCCACTGTCTGATCTCCCTTGCCAGCTTTGGGTTCCCTAGAGCCAGACTGAAAAACAGGAGTGTACTTCGGTAATTTTTGTACGACGATCAAAATTGCACCAGTCTGAAGCCAGGACCAGTGCAATTTGAGGTCTTTGAAAAATTCATGAGTGTCTGTTGTTCGAAACTGGGCGAGAAAACCACACCGTGAATTACTTATTGATAATATGTAATAGATCATAAGTATTATGTGGCCAAAATTGGCACTGTAATATTTTAATATTAATGCAGTATTTTAAAAAATTACTTCAAGAAGTTGTTTATCATCAAGAAGGTCCTCGGGATCATCATAGTGAAGATTTGGCGTTGTCACCAACATTTCACCAACAATACCAAATAATTGAGGATAGAACAGTGCCTGGAATAGAAAGTTCCTTATATGTAAACCTATATGGTATATACAGCTAATTAATTAGTGTTGAACTAATGAGAGAGTGTTATAAAACAGGCACTCCTGTGGAATCCGTAGGGCTCACAGTTGGACTTGAAATATTACATCAAATACTGATCCAATAACATCCAACAACAAAAGTTTACCATAGGTGCTTGCATGACTTCGTCTCCAAGTTTCAACTCGTACAACAAAGGCCTGACGCCAGGACGATGCACTTGAAATTCGTGAATCTGACCTGCCGGAATATCCTGCAGCATAAAGATTAGATTACCCTGTGGTTTTGCTATATAATATGGCTGGGAGTGCGACCTCTGGCACTGTGTTTATTGCCAGTCAATCTAGGGCTGAATTTCAACCCGGTTAACTGACATGAAATTGTTTCTCGACCACATGGCAAAGTTTAGCCTGGGATGAGTTAGAATTCCAGTTCAAACCCGAGGTGAAATCTCAGCCCGGGCTGAAATACCCTGGGTGCCAGAGCCTCTTGTGATAGAAGTGAGGACACGATGAGCGTTGGTTAACCAATGAAAAGACTCGCATAAATTTAGACCAATCACAAACAGAGTTCAAATATTGAACTCACCAAAGTGAGGCTGGATGCTCGTGTGACCAGAGCCTCCTCACTTCTATCACAAGAGGCTCTGGCACCCAGGGTAGAGCTGAAACGATCAAGTCTCAAAATGGAAACTATTCCGCTTCGTCGAAGAATTTAAAATGTCGTTCATGTCTATTATTTGACTTCTGCGAGACTGTTGGTCGCATTTAAAAATAGATCAGACAGAAACAAAGCCACTTATTTGCTTGTTTTCAGCCCGGCAACCGGGATGAAATTTTCAGCCCGAGTGGCTTCAACCGGGCTCAAAAATTCAGCCCAGGCTGAGATTTCTGTCATGTAATCGTTTGCTGTGTTTTAATAGGATTTTATCCCTAGGCCGGGCTGAAATTTCAGGAAACTCAGTCCCGGTTGAAAACTCTCCATGTAATCAGCCTCTAACACCCGTAACACGGGCTGCGTAGCTTACCTGGTTCAAATGGCAAAATGTTTCCTTCAGTTCTTTAAGTAAATATACATCTAATTTATCATTGTATGGATTACACTCCTTGTACGGAAAATTCATCTGTAAGTGGAAAGTTAAATCTTTGTTAACATGCCTTTTCTCAATACGATTCAGAAATACAGTATTAATATACCTTTCGCAACAGCCAAAAGAAACATCTTGTAATATCATTTCCACCATAATGCAGGATCAGCCTTCATGGAAGTCAAGATTGTAAAACAATTTAGTCAAATACCAGATGAATTTATCTGTCAAAGAGGACTGGTGCGAACTTGATGGATAACCAAAGAATCTGCCCATCCCTTTTGCCCAGTCAAAACGCGACGCAATGTGCCTTTTTAATTTCACTTTTGAACATCAAGTGTTACTTGTCAGGAAAAGAATACCTGTGGCGGACACTGGGGTGAGGGGGCACTGGACAGCCGGCCCCTCCAATAATTTCGAAGCCTTTGAATGAGAGCCGAATAACTGTGTAACAAAGCTGCAACAGTAACTTTACAACAATGAAAGCATTGTTAAGCTATAAATGAAGCTATATGTTACATGAAATTTAAAACAAAAAAGTTTAAAGAATTGAGACTTCCAACAACAAAGGGTGGTAATATTGTGGCAACCTAAATTGCCCCATGAAGTAGTACTATCATTCTTAAGGGGTTAACCGAAAATTTACCCATGTCTTTTGATAATCCATGAGGCAGATCTGCAAGTGCCCTACTGCGTCTTCCTTTCTTATTCTACTAGTACTCTGTTAAAATGGTCATTTTACTCGTGGGCGACACTGCCATGTGCAGTAATGGCACTGCAATGAAACACCACAAATCTTCACATACCTTGACGATGGTATCGTTAATCCATCTTCAATGCAACTAATGTGAGTTTTTTCATGACCAACATCTACAATGCAGCCACAACTTATCCCACACCCAAACGAAGAACTGACAGACTCCTATATGCATAAATGTTAAGAGAGAGGATGAAGACTATGCCGTCTCATGACGACTCTCATCTGAATGTACAAGACCTATCATTCCATACCAGTTGAATGATGGCAGAGGAAAATCCAAGTCTGCATAGTAAGATGTTCAACATTTCCTTCACATGTTGTCTGTTGAAAGTATCTGGAACTACAAGTACAGCTCTGTGGAACTATCGAGAAGAAAAGAACAAATGCATTGAAGAAAGTGGTTGATGGATGAAACTACTTGAAAACGTAGAAAATTCTTCGACTGCTTCGTTGTGGAAGTAAGTGGATCCTTATCAATGGAACCGACACTCGATAATTATCTAGCATTAATCATAACATTAATAAAGATTACGTACCTGTAGACTTGGTATGGGTATATCAAGATATGTTTTAATACCATATGCCCAGATAGCTTCTAAGTCAGCACATACTGAAGTCAATGATCCCCCAACACCTGAATGCAGGTTTAAACTGCCTCCTTTCATTGGCCAGTGTAATGTGTATGGATCATTGTCATTTATATACATTGCCTTGAATTTAGATAAAGTATAGGTTTATATTTTATTTGCTACACTAAACAAACTTTATTGGGGATACCTGGATAGGGTCACAGGATCAACATTATAGCTATAATCAGCTAAATACAATCTAAAACTGCATACGTAAAAATCTAACAATTTGTCAACAAGATGTGCTCGCAATAGGCTTGTATAACAAGCTTGTCAACAAGTTGTAACAATGCTGTAATTTTATCACGTTGCTACAAGGTTGTCACTCGCAACTTGTTAACAAGTTGTTGAATTGCAGGGCGATAACAAGTTGTTGGAAGAACAACTTGTAACAAGTCTGTTGAGCTTAACAACCTTGTAGCAAATTGTCAACAAGCCGTTGACAAAACAAGCTGGGAACAAGCAGTGCGAACACATCTTGTCAACAAGATGTATTCGCAACAGGCTTGTGGCAAGCTTGTCAACAAGTTGTAACAATGCTGTTATTTTATCAAGTTGCTACAAGGTTGTCACTCACAACTTGTTAACAAGTTGTTGAATTGCAGGGCGATAACAAGTTGTTGGAACAACTTGTAACAAGTCTGTTGAGCTTAACAACCTTGTAGTACGTTGCCAACAAGCAGTGCGAACACATCCTGTTGACAAGTTGTTGGATTGCAGAATGATAACAATTAACAAGTTGTTGGAAGAACAAGTTGTTGGAAGAACAACTTGTAACATGTCTGTTGAGCTCAACAACCTTACAGAAAATTGTCAACAAGCTGTTGACAACAAGCTGGGAACAAGCAGTGCGAACATGGGCGTACCGGAAGGAAAAAATCAGGGGGCGGAAAGAAATTTGCCCGACTTTTCGGTATTGTGCCCGACTATTACCAAAAAAAATTTTTCCGGAAAAATTTTTTTGGCGACTCCCCCCCCCCCCTGTCGCCAAAAAATTTTCGGTCAGTGTACCATTTTAGGGGTCAAAAAATTTTCCGGACATACTCAACATTTTTCGCAACATCACACAAATTTTCCAAACAACACAAATTTGACAAAAAAATTTACAGAATTTGTCCCATTTATTTTTATAACAAACCAAAATTGCCCGACTGTTGATCAAATATTGCCCGACTGCCAAACAAACTGGGGGGCTACCGCCCCCCCCCCCCCCCCCCCGCCCGGTACGCATATGAGTGCGAACACATCCTGATTGCTACAAGTCTGCTGCAGGTTTGTTACAACTTGTACGTTTTTACATGTGTAAACTAAAAGGTTTCATTGCGTACTTTCTGGCGCATAAGCCATATCATATAAAGCCCCATACAGACGAGCAAGTTTCCTTGACAAGTTCACCTTCTCGTGTAAATTGGGAGCTCTGAATTCCACCGTTCATTATTGAACCTCACCTGTTCACCAATAATAAAGGACGGACTCTCACTGATGTCTGTCCACTGGTTGTGCGAGACCTCATCATCTAGTTCAGTGGCTTCAGATTCTGCATTAAATGACACAACCTTGTGGAAACGAAAATGCCGAAAACTTAACATTTTGCGTAAACAAGATCGGGGCATAAACTGATAAACAAAATTAGAAACACGTTTTTCCCTGCTCACTAACCTGTTCTTGTAACTGTTGGTGTTTTTTCGGTTTTTTCGTCAGAATGCCTTGTTCAACAATACTCAATGCTAACTCTCGCTGAGTCTCGCTCTCTTTCTGCTAATAGTTGAATAACAACAAGGGTCACAAATGACTCCCATTTTGAAAATATTACAAGTCCGAAAAGTGCATGCATTTCCCGCTATTTGTCACAATAATTTTGTTTATTATACATTGTAGTTGGTAAAAGCAATTTGATTGGCTTAGAGCGTACAGTTAAATCGCGCAATCACGCAACCTACAGAAAATTCAGTTATCTGCTAGCAGATAACTCAGTTATCTGCTAGCAGATAACTGAATTTTGTGTAGGTTGCGTGAAATTGAATGAGTGTACATTTCAAATGAGTGTACATTTCAATTTTCAAATGAATGTACATTTCATAATTGTAATGTTTACTTTAACAAGTAAATATTTTAATACGTTAACATCTTAACGATAATATGTTTCTTCTATATTTGTAATTAATTTAACTGTTGGACTTCCGGAGACTTGTTTATAGAAACGTTTTACTTGAACAGCTTTGCCAGAAATCATATTGAATCATATAGTATTAAAATACTATGTTTATTATTTTCAAATGTATAATAAAACAATTATTGAATTCGGTTTTTGCGATATGCAAAATTATCAAGGTCTCGGTAAGCGTTATCAACCTCGCCTTCGGCTCGGCTGATAACGCTTACCTCGACCTTGATAATTCCGCATATCACAAAAACCTCATCCAATAATTGTTAATTAAATATGATTTTTGCCTTTTGGTATGTGTAATATTTAGGTCATTCGAAGAAGAAGTGTAATAACTAATATTATATATCCTTATAATAAAAAAATCCCATCTTAGATTGTTGATGCATGTACTATATTTAACATGAGCAGCAGTGTTTTATCACTCCGAGATATAAAGATACGAGGCGAACTGCGAAGCCGAGTATCTTTAGGTCTGATAAAACACGCACTGCGAATGTTTTAAATTGCCTCAAAAACGATCGTTGTAGTAAGTTCATTGGCGAAGTAATTTTCAAAAAATACGTTGTGTCAAATCAAAGTTAAAGTTTATGTAAATCAAGGGAAATCTCTATCACATATACAGTAAAGATACGACACACTTATGCATGATGATTTTTCTTTGTGCTTTCCTCATGAATTAAGTTTTTGAAGTACTATATGTTACAGCTTTTTTACAGAGAATGAAGCAAAGCATAAGCATTTTGGTTTATACATACATGCAAACCTGGTCTGGCAAAAAAGCTATCAGGTTTCTTCTGGAGCGTACAAGATGCAGGGCGTTTCCATGCAATGACATGGGGCATGCTCTGTGGAGCATGATCTGTGGCACGGCCAAGCCATAACGTTGTCGAGCCAGGGTGCAAGATGATTATTGTGGTGGCATTAACAGGCTGATATGTCTAGGAAAATAACAAAACTAAATTGCTGCAAAATCTGTTAGAATTAAGCTGAAGGCCTATTTTCACTTGAAGAAAATTTTCCGCGGGACGAAAAATTTGTAAAATGTTCGCAACAGGCTTGTAGCAAGCTTGCAGTCAACAAGTTGTAACAATGCTGTTAGTTTGTCAAGTTGCTGGTATCTCTTGTCGGATTTAGAAAAAGTCAACATTTTTCTTCATGGTTCTACGAATTTGGATATATTAGATAATCTGAATCTTTTTATGTTTGTTCAACAATATATAAAGGAAACCAAACGTTTCCTTCAATAGTCGAATATGTGTTAATCTGACTGATAAGGGAACCAGTTGTTCAACTTTCCGAGTGTGATAATTTTTTTATCAGTGTAAAAATGTGTAGCGTGAGCCCCGTAGATGAGCTTCATGCTCTTGGGCAAACGCTAATGAAAATAAATATGTTTAAACAACAAACAAAAAAAAACCAAGTTGTTGCCTGTTGGAACAACAGGTCTGCTGTTGAGCTCAACAACCTTGTAGCAAATGGTTAATTGTCAACAAGCTGTTGACAACTTGTCAACAAGCTGGGAACAGGCAGTGCAAACACATCCTGTTGACAAGTTGTTGGAACAGCATAATGCCACAGCTAAGAAAGAATTATAGGCTTCCAGTTAGACCTAAGTCACTGGAACCATGTTCTCATGTAACACCCTAGATGGTACTCTGTATTTGTTGCACTACAGCATTTGGATGCAAGGGCATCAATCCTGGAGGGGAGGGGGGCGTCCCTCTCACTTTTTGGACATTCGTAATATAATCCATAATATATATTGCATCCACTGGTCAACTTTGTCCCCCCCCCTCACTTTTTGGAATGGATTGTTGCTTTTGTTTGGATGGGTTAGTAGATGGAAATTTCCATTAAAAAAGTAATTTTAGGCCCTCTGGCAGGAAGCGAACCTGTGTTTCTGCTTTGCCACTCTGACCAATGACCATGAGTACAGCATTTGCATATACTGCAGTACAGACAGCATTGTAGCTATAACAAATGACCGGCAGTCATTATATAGCCTGAAAACAGACCTATGTGCGGGCGATAGTTATTATATTTAAGGGCAATAGTTATAAAATGATAACTAAGGGCGATAGTTATTATATTTAGTAAATACTAATATAAAATGTGCTTTTTACAGATGCTTTCAACAAGCTTCACATTAGCTTGGCAGGTAAGGCATGTGACTATTACATTCTGTGTGGTGGTTCAAGCCTGCTTTGGGTTGTTATTTTTATATTTCAATTAACTGTTTTACTTAAAAATTGTTTAATTTTTTCTTGACCAATTTTAAGTTTGGGGTTGGAATAAGTTTATTATATAAAAATCTGACTTTAGACTTTAACAAGAAATGCCAGTCATTTAGAATTTTTTGCAATGTGATCAGTCGCTGGTAAATAGTCATGTGGTTTTATTATACTTGGCTTTTAATTAACATTTTAAGTGTGCCTCAGCACACTTATATATACACGCTTGAGCATATACACCCTTTCGATAATTAGGTCATTTGGTCTGGGAGCCTTGCTCTCATGAACCGTGAGCCAATCACCTTGGATAATTTACTAATGAGAATGAGGCTCCAGGACCAAAAACTGTGTGACGTAATTATCGAAAGGGTGTATTCTTCTCAAAAACGTATCAGTAGAACTCAGGGTTGATTTTCAACTATACTTTGTAAAATTTGAATAAGTTTTGAAACTTTGATATTTTTTTCTCCACTCCTGAGCCAATACCTCCGTTGTTTCCATCGGCTCCGTGACATCAGCTTTGACACCGCGAGGCATGGTGTTTCTACACACAACACTTAACCGTTTAACATAAATAAATACGTCTTTCACGCTTTTCTTTTAAAGATATATCACTTTTTATTTTCATGTTTGGTAACCGCCATCTTGTCCGCCATTTGCTCGTGCCAGACCTCCTTCCACCATTTTCGGACTATGCCACTGATATGGCAATATAACTGGATTGAGCATTTATTGCGTATAAAATTTATCGGATTAACACCCAAAACGGCAACTGATAACCTTTTTAACGTATTATGGTGGGAAATTATTGCCTGAGATACTTTTAATGTTAAATTGATGTAGTTATCTGGTTAGATTTTTAGGCTTACTGAATGAAAGACATCTTTATGGTTGCGCTATCAAGTCAATTTTTGAGGTCAGTGCAAGCTCAAAGTCGGAAGTTGTCGGAACTTAAAATTTTAAATTATTTTGTGGGTTTTAGTATTTTTATTGAGCAAATTCCCTGCAATATTTTCACATTTCGCCTATACCAAGCAAACGTAGAAAACATGCTAATTATGTAAAAATGTATTTTACCAAAATTATTGTGCTTTTTTCAAATTAATCAACTTTCTCGAATATAAACGGCTAGGTACGAAACCAATACGACTCATAAACGATAGTTTCCGAGCTTCGAGTTTTCTTTTTCCAATATGGCAGCCGAAGAAAGAGTTAGTCCGTTTCCTCTACCTCCGAGTGACTATTATAAACTTTATACAGATGAAAATATCAAGGCAATGATTGCTCCTGAACCGCCCCCTCCCATACGTGGGGAATATTCGGTATTTGGTTTACAATTTGAGGTATAAACAATAGCAATTAGTTTAATAATTTGGTGTTTAATATGGTAAAAAACATTTTAATATATTTAACAAAGTGACTATATGATTTATCAAAACTATATGGCTGGCAGTATAGTGAATATAGTTAAATATAAAAAAAACTTTTGTTTGTACTAGCTTTTACCGAGCTTACCATTAGCCGGTTAGCGTATTCGGCAAAGGCGCTGTGTGCGGAAAGACGGGAAAGTGAAATTAACGCAGTCAGGGTTGCCAGGTCATATTGTTACTTCGTATATTTAATTTGCATGCTTGAAAGTTGAAAACTGAAATCCACAGGCAAGGGGCAACTTGCTAACTGACCATGACCAAAAAGTGCCCAGGGGATTAATTGCCTACACCAGTGTGCATTCCATGCACTCCACGCCGGATATATCCGGCGTGAGGTTACAAAATTGTTGGTTACATGTCCACATGTAAATTGATAGTATAACTACACGAATTTACCTGGATTTAAGTTCCCAAAATTTAAAATTGGCGTAAAGGATCATACATGTTGGCGTATCTCCAGCGTAGAGTTTACATGGAATGCACCCTGGTGCCTACACCTTATTACAAACTTTCCAATTCGATATATGCACAACCTATGTGTTGACAAAAATGCCAATTGCCATCTCCCCATGCTATTGTAGATTGTAGAGTGCAAATCAGTGATTTATGTGGTGATCAGGATCTTCTGGTGATAACAATCTTCAAAATAATCCAATGTCCAGTCATTTATCTCTCAATCCAATCACTTTTAATATTATCTGGTTGTTTGTTATTTTTAGTTAAGTGAGCCCTTTTTGATGAGCAATTTGACTGATATTTATTGTATAGACTGATATTTATTGTATATTGATGGATACAATTGCTTTTAGGGCAAATGTTGAGTTTAAAATATGGTTTAACCCATTAAGCGCTAGCGCTCTCCTCTCGACAAGTAAAATGTTCTGGCATTAGACAGAGTAAAATAACAAAGTAGGGCACAATGTGATTCGATGGGTTCACAAGACACATGAGCAGATAGGCTAGTCGCGTAAATACGAGTGTAAATACACCCAATTATATCGATAGACTTTTATTACGGAATTCGGATATTCATCAAAGAGAAACCCGATACTCAAATACGAACTTGGTGTGTCCTAGATTTACCAGAAAAACTGAAGTTGGCCGTACTTTTATGGCTAGATCCTCTATTAAGTGGAATACAGTAGCATTGATATGGACATGATTAGAAAAAAGACCTCAGTGGCTAGTTTTAAGTACAATTTATATAAGTCATATTTAGATAAACAGAAAGCCACCATGATCATGAGTCTGTAACTATTTTAAAAATCTTTTAACTACATTTGCATGTAGTATATATTGTTTTACATTCTAAATTTTTCAACTTACTGTAGTATATAGTGAGGGCCACAAAGTCATGAGTATTAATTTACTACTGTAAAGTGTTAGCCTCGTTAAATAAAGCCTATAATAATAATAATAATAAAGTGCCAGCGCTTTTTCCTTGACGATTAAAATTGTATGGCGTTAAGCCCGTTCTCCACCAGGCTAATTTGTTCGCGCAAACAGTAAAAAAGTAGGAACTGATCCAACTTTTTTGCGGCGAACTTTTTCGCTGACCAATCACATTGCCAAGATTTGTTTTTTGCTTCGCGTCGTGCGAAAAAATTTGCCTAGTGGAGAACGGGCTTTAGACACAGTAAAATAATAAAGTAGGGTGCAATGCAAATCAATGGGTTAAACAAAAATCAGTGATCTTATGCATGTGTTTAAAATTAGTGATTTAAAAAAATCATGATTTATATCTTTTGTTATTATGTAACATCCCATTTGTGTGTTTTGAAGTACAAAATACTACAAACCCATAGCCAATTGAGAAATAATGTCAAAATGTATAAATTGTCAATATAAATTGACAATATTTAAATGTTCTATTTAGACTGATGAACCAATCATAAGATCTTTGGAACAACAAAACATGGACAGACTGTATCCTTTAGAGTTCAGTAAGTAACAGCTCGGCCTTACCCTTTAAATTTTTAAGGTGGAACGTCTATTTGGAGTCTGGAGTCTGTTTCTTATTTTATTTCATGGCCGTGTATTTAATTCAATTATTTCTAGATAGACAAAAAGAGCTTAAAAAGCTAAACCATTCTGTACTTATCAATTTCCTGGAATTACTTGATATCCTCATCAACGAACCGACCTCACCAAAGGTAAAATACTGTATATCATTCATGCGCAATTTTGAATTTATGCATATCAAAAATTGGTGTTTTATTCACTGTATACATATATCATTTATATCCATTTGCAAAAAAATTGTCAAGAATTGGTGTTGTATAGCAATTTTACATTTAGCTAGCCTAGCCTAATTAGACCTGCCAACAATAAGAACTGTTATGTAAAAATATAAGATTTTTCAACTTCAAACTTGGGAACTGGTCAGAATTGTGACAATGCCATCTAGCCTAAATTATATTTGTCTGTTTTTAGGATGCAAAACAATGTCAATTTGAACTGCACTTCGAATGTTTCAATTTAGCTCCGTCAATCAGTGCCTTGCACCAGACTACAAAAATGTCACTAAAGAGATGCAACATTCCAGAGTTACAAAATCTCATAACAGGAGACATTTCATAACTCTGAATGCTGTGGTCTAACTGAACTTCACAATTTTATTTAACCCATAGAGTCGCATTGCACCCTGATGCACCCTACTTTAGTATTTTACTCTGTCTAATGCCAGACGATTTTACTTGTCAAGGGGAGAGCGCTGGCGCTTAATCGATTAACTGGCCTATCTGCCCATGTGTCTAGTTAACCCATTGAGTTGCATTGCACCCTGATGCACCCTACTTTAGTATTTTACTCTGTCTAACGCCAGACGATTTTACTTGTCAAGGGGAGAGCGCTGGCGCTTAATGGGTTAAATTGCTGGAATTTTTTCTGGTTAACACTCTTACTTTTCAAAAAGCGCTTTTAGTATATGATGTAATATTTCAAATATGACTAGGAGGATTGGACTAGATTTCAAGTCAACGCAATTTGATCACATTCAAGGCGAAGCTGAGGACTGGGTCAAAATGCAAGGATTTGAAATCTAGTCTATTCTGAATTGAAGGATTTGAGATGACATCTCATATAAATAAATCGCTACTTAATTAATTTTGATCTAGTCTTAGGACAGGATCAATATACTTCATCAGGTATCCAGTTAATTCATGTGAGCAAAATAAAGCAATGAATGAATTATTATTGAGTTTGAGAAATCTGTCATCCTTATAGAGAGAGAAAAAGCTTGGTGAAATTACAGTACTGTTTATAAACATGCATCATCTCATCAATGAGCTCAGGCCTCATCAGGTAATGAAGTATAGACTGTCAGGTAATAAAGTATAGACTGATATTTATATTGATGGATACAAATCGACACTGGTTATATAAAATTGATAAATTATTGGGTTTAGGCCAGAGAGACATTACGTGTCATGATGGAAAGACAGAAGCAACAACGACTAGAAACTGCTGATAAATTAGACAAGTATGGTCACAGTAAACATTTTAATAGTTATATATTGAACAATCATAGCACAGTCGGAAATTACTGATTACGAGTTGCAATCATCCCAATTTCGATCCCAATTTAAATTTAAACTAGTTTGACTCATTTTGCATGACGCTTTGTCTTTGCAAAATGGTAGTCTCTAAAGAACTAGTTGTTTTACTTCCATATTAGACAGATTTAGATCGCGGACGTCAAAGGCGAGGTGAAAATGGCGTGGCATATCCATACCACTGAGATCCGTACATACATGCATGGGCACAACACGCCATTTTCACGTCGTCTTTGACGTACGCGTCCTCGATCTAAATCTGTCTATTAATTGGTTATATATACAGTTAGGAAATAAAGGAACTTTTACCGATTCTGGTTGTCTGCTGATAACACAATAATTAACCAGGTTATCATGGCTAGCACGACGCCTACCTCCATAAGTCTAAGGGGCTTCAAATTCAAACGTCAAAATATGCACTTGAATTAAGAATTCTGGAATCACACACAAATAGTTGCGGTGTGTAATCATTTAGAAGTTGTCATCTGCAACATTAAGCTGTGAAATCTCTGCTCAGCTGATTATTATTATTATTTACAGATTGGTAGATAAGGTTCTATCACTCGTTCAGTCATGTTCAATCTCACTGCAGTCTGATCCTGCAAATGTCAACAACATCACAATGAAGCATGTAAGTGAGGCTCACTTTTGGAGTATCTAATCTTATGATCGTAACATACTTTCCGATTTGTAAAGTGTGACTATAACCCAAGTATAATTTTTGGTTTGCGTAGTATTTTTGTCATTCTAAGAAGAAATGTAATATAGATGGGATTTTTTACTATAAAGATACAGGTAGATCACCTTTTTCACCGTCAAAGTTTCCAGATATGATGCCATTAGGTGATTTTTTCAACTCGAAAGCCTTACGCTACTTTGACCGCTGTGCACATCTGATTACTATATACCTCTACATAATTTTTACCCTTTTGTTCCATTTACATTTATGCCATTTATATAATACTTGTACATACAGGTAGATCATATTTGGGCATTTAGGGGTTAGTGGCACTCTGAGGAGGTGCTTCTTCATTTCTCGTATCTTATTTGAGGAGAATAACATTCGTTAAGGCTGGTTGACACTATCAAAGTTTCTGTGATCACAGAAGGAACATTGCGTAGGTAAATTCTAAGTTTTGAAAGATTTGTGAGAAATGTTTCATTATGTTTGAAGGGAACTGACCCGGTGTTTGATACGGACTCAGTTCCTTCAAACATTTCTTACAAATTCTTCATCAAAACTCAGAATTTACCCATGCAAAATTCCTACTGTGATCACAGAAACTTTGATAGTGTAAGCCTTAGGAATGTTCGGTATGAGAAATTTCCGGTATCGGTATACCGAAAAAATTATACCGATATTATCGGTATACCGGTCTTCCTGAAGGAAATTTTGAATAATTCTAAAAGGGAAAACGATCATTTCGAAGCTGTTTCGAACATGTTTCGAACGACACGTACTCAGTGTAAAATCTCACTGAAGTGGAAATTCTCAATCATTGCAGTAGAAAGTTCTTTGAATTGCCATTCAGTAGTAAAATAAAGGTTATGGTTTCGCCATATAGTTGGTAAATTTAACACAGTATACCGAAAAATTCCGGTGTGTCGGGAAAATCGGTATATCGGTATGGTTGAACATCCGGTATCGATATACCAATATTGATTTAATACCGATACATTGATTTAAGACCGAACAGTCCTAGTATATATTGATTTAAGACCGAACAGTCCTAGTAAGCCTTATATACGTATTTTGCTTAATAAATATGCATTGTTACCACAGTTATTGCGTATTGTATTTCCTTTGTACAATATTTTTGTCTTCTATCAGGATTCAAGCGATAAAGAGAGCAACAAGACACCAAATTTAATAGAAGAAAGTGAACTGCATACATTATGTGACATGGTGGAAGACTTGACATAAAACAAATATATTATCCTTCCCTTGTACATAGTTTAATAGTTAATTAATGTAATCTGTATATAATAGTTTAGATCTGTATAAAGTGGTATATCACTCAATGGTAATATATTTAGGCAGGGACGCCGGAACTGGGGGCAGGGGGGGGGGGCGGCTGCCCCCCTTGCCTTTTGCTAGGGGGGGCAGGGGGAGCAGAAGTGCCCTTTTAGTTGTAAAATATTACGTGATAAATCGCATTTCCAACGATGCTTTTTGTAGGAAAATGATGAGATTCAGGTAATTTATAGTTTATATTTATAAAAATTTTGGAAAATTTTTGGAATTTAGAAAAATATTTTGAAGAAATGGCTAAAAGTTAAGATATGCGGAAAAATTTTTGACTTCACGGAAAATTTTTGTGTGTCCGGAAAAAATTTTTGACCCCTAAAATGGTACACTGACCGAAATTTTTTTGGGGGGGGGGAAGTCGCCCAAAAATTTCCATTGAAAAAAAATTTTCCGGTAGATTTTGAACTTTTTCTCTATAGAGGTGCCCTTGGTGTGCGTCGGCCCCCCCTTTGCCTTATTATCGTTCCGGCGTCCCTGTATTTAGGTATAGAAACACCTGTATGTACATTGTAGTCCGAAAGTCCACATGCACCAGGGCTTCGTTGCCGATATCAGACAAATTTTACTTGTCAATAGGATCCTCAATTCCTTGTTTCTGGTTCCTTCCGCTCCGCTGTCCACATCATGAGCTGTAATATTTTCATGCAACACTCGGTCTACTGCCCTAATTTCTCTCTCTCAATATCATCATTCTTATATCTTATATTTATTTAATGGACCTGAAATTTTGTCTCTTTGTTCAATGATAGAAAGACCTGGTCCATGTTCCTAAAGTTTTTCAAGAGCGAGAAGAAAACGTCAGCACCATTAAATGCTTTATAACTAGATTTTCATGATGAATCCTCCCTTCAAGAGAGTTTGGACTCATTTCACAAAGGTCTTTATAAACAGGAAAACATTATATGATAATGCTTTGCTCAACATATAGTAAAAGACGGACGGAGAACAACATATACGAAATCGAAAATCTACAAAAAAATTAATAGAAGATGTGCACGAATAACGAGATCAATGGACCATTTGCGTTATAGACTAAATTTTGATCTAGACAAAAATTTCATCACAGCTTGAAAGAGCATCACAAAATTAGTAATATTCCAAAGTTTCGTTGCGTAATGTTGTAAATTGCGGATAATATAGCCTTGCGAAGTTTGCTGTTTTTCAGTTATTTTGTATTACGCATGGGAAATTGACAGCCCAATCGGGTGTTGGGGTATCAATTTCCCGTTTGTAACACAAAATGACTGAAAATTGCAAATTTCGCAGGGCTATATCATCCGCATTTTACAACATTTCGCAACGTGAAACTTTGGAATATTACTAATTTTGTGATGCTCTTTCAAGCTGTGATGAAATTTTTGTCTAGACTTGTTTAGATCTTTAGATCAAAATTTTGTCTATAATGCAAATGTCCATTGACCGAGCAGATCTCTAAAGGGAAAGGCCTGGAACAGAAATTCAAAATGGTGTCAAAAATTGGCGAAGGGACAAAAACAATGACAAATTATCAGCGTTTTCATTGAAATGAATCAGATTTTTGTCAATATTTCGTGTTAGACGGAACTCGATGAACCCAGGAAAGAAAGTTTTTCAAGCAAAAGCTCCTGATAAGGGAAGCTTTCCATTAGATCATGATGGTAAAAATTGTTTATATTTTTTGTTTTTTCTGCATCCAATAATATATATCCACCCCACCCCCGTCAAAAGTGAGGTGTAGGTATTGGCAGGGGTGTTTGTATCTCATATAGAGCGAAGACATACCGAAATTTTATGGTTGTGTAATTATTCCCAGGATGACTGTTTGTGGGGGAGGTTTAAAAAACTAGGAAGACTGGGAAGTCTGGAAATTGTGCACCAATTGGGCTGTGACTGGGAAGTCTGGAAATTGTGCACCCAAGATTTTGAATATCTAATATATGTCTAATAAAATACGAAGTGACTACCCTAAACCTCCGAATATAAGCCCCCCCCCCCTGTGTATAAACCCACCACATGCACTAATGCTCCCCTCATTCCAAATATAAGCCCCCCCCCCAACTACAAGTCCCCCAATTAATATAAGCCCAGTAATTGCTGCTGAATACATGTTTATTTCCCTGTTTATGACTGACATGTTTATATCTGACTTGTTTATTACTAACACAAAAGATCGTCCATGTATAAGCCCCCACGTATATAAACCCCCCCATTGTATATATAAGCCCATCAAAAATCGCTTACGAAAGTATATAAGCCCAGTGCTTATAGTTGGAGGTTTACGGTATACAGCCAGCTATTTAGTAAACTGCTGGGTATATAGTGACTATAGACTATAGTTATAAGATAAACCGATCTCTTCCCCTAACCTTTTGAGAGTTTGAAAAGGTGGAAAAAAGTTTAAGAAGTTTTAAGAAAAAAAGCTTAGTTAGACAAAACACAACCAGACCTGGACTGTGTTTCACTTTCTGCACACCGCACTTTGACCTTTACCGTATATGCTAATGGCAAGCTCGGTAAAAGCTAGCGCAAACAAAAGTTTTTATATTTAATTATAGTCGCTATATAACTGGCAGTTTACTAAATAGTACAGACACTGTACAGACACTTTGAATAAAATACATAGAAAACATTAAAACTGCAGGCTCTCAATTGCACAATACAAACTTTCCACCGAGACAGTACCTCTCTAATATGGATCCAAATTGGTACATTTTCGTATTGAAAAAACTTCATACAGACATTTCACTATTACTGTATAAATACTTTGCTGTATTCCCTAATTAGAGAGGTCTTATTGTATATATTTACCCTATTATTCAGGTGAGTGCAAAGAATTTATGGTACAGTATATGAAATGTCTTCAACAAAACAACAACAGTAACTCCAAATGCAGACCAGAATCAAAACGATACTTAGAATGTCGCATGGATAGGTATGGTGTAATCACAGGTGTAATCAAAATATTTGTTATCAGATCATATTAATGAAGACAATGGTGACGGGTTTAGGTTGATAAAGGGGTGGGGGAGTAGTGGGAATGTACCCTAATACCACCATTTCAACTGATATTAAAAGTTAAATATTTAAAATTTTAGTTTAACCCTTCAAGTGGCAATGTGCTCTGATGCATCCTACTATAAATTTTACTCTGTCTAACAGTAGATTATTTTACTCAGTAGATTATTGTGTATAAATGCCAGACAATTTTACTTGTCAAGGGGAGAGTGCTGGCCTTAAATGGGATATTTTTTTTATATATTTTTTTTATTAACTTTACAATCATATTATATAAAAAATACACATACAGCTATGATTGAAGGATTGGACAACAGAACTAGAATCGCATACTAAGTCCATCTAACACTAAAACACGACATATTACGGACTGCAAACTGGACAACGTAAATACTGATTTTACAGGCCTTTATACCATATAAAACATGCAAGAATAAATACATAACTACACTACTGTGAAATTATTTGTGAGGTTCAGTTTTGACCACCACCACCACCACTAGTTAGAAACCACGAACCACTTTATTAAGCATGATTGGTACCATGCCTACTGTGTCTTCTATGTAGAGTGCTAATTAACTCATTAAAGTGCAAGAATCTTCTTGATGAGTAAAGACTAAACTACTTGCAAAATCTCAGATATTGCGTTCCAGTTTAGGTAGCAAAGAATACAATTTGCAGCTTATGTATATGATGCAACTACCCAGGCCACCCTGGGAATAGCATGCAATTACAAAATACTCCTTGGTATGCAGCTCAGCTTATCAGGAATTGCGATTTGCCACATGCCATTAAGCTGCAAATGTAAAATATATTTATAAAGACCCTTATATGACCTACACTATATACTGTACATTTCAATTATGATTATGAAGCATATTAAGTGACTTTGAAAAAGTCCAATACAAATATTTTGTATTATGGGATGATGACCTGATTACCTGAAAACTAAGAACATATTTTTAAGTTTACTGATATTATAATTTAACTGGTATTTTCAGGGAGCTTATGACCAAAGAAGATTTTGAACTGTTGGGGTATAAAAAGGAAAATTCATGAGTCCTTTCTCAACACTGACACTGTCTGTTTTGAATAAATAAGATAAATCCATTTTTCGCAGAAGTCTATAAACAAGAGCATTTTTGAATCGATTGTATGTCCACAAGTAAACAAGATACGGTTCAAAAGCATGCATATTGCAAGGAAATAAATACGCTCATGATATTATAGTTTGAAAAAAAAATCAAAAAGCCTAAATGCTACAAATTCCAAATTCCATGCAAGGGAAAAGTGTGCAAGAAATCTTGTTGAATGTTGTATAAATTTTCTAATTACTGTACGAAATACATGTAATAGTACAAAATAAGAATGCTTTATATTTGATAATGTTTAGAGGGATTTAGATGTTATTTTTCTTCTGGGAAACAAGGCCGGATTTTGGTGGTTAATTAATTAAACGAAGTGGCTATATCTACGGGCCCGTAAACAGACTTCGCCAGGCTATATTTACGGCACTCTCGTTCTTAGTCACCATACGGCCCGTATTTATCGTTAAAGTCAAATTAAAACAAAAATAACCCTAACCCCAATCCTTCCCCTAACCTCTAACCCTAACCCCTAAAAAGTCAGTTGAGGTTGTTATACAGCCATGTTTTTAAATACACAGTATTTTAACAAGCAAATTTACTGTCCTGATAAAAACCGATAGCAACTTTATAAACAGAAGATTAAATGTAAAACTTATCAGAACGGCGAACATGCAGATTAGGCCATCTCAAATAATGATAATGTTGGGATAGTAGCGCTTCAGACTGCAGAGGAGATTGGGCAGCAGGGCTCTCTCATGCACCACCCTATGGAAAAATATGCATCCCTTCTTGCAGATATGTTTAGATCCACCACTGGAACTCAACTCTAATATACAAGGTGTCCCGAATAAAAATATACCTTTTGAAATCAAGCCTTTGTTGAAATTTGAATGCCTTATTACAATGCTGAACCCCAGAGCATCTTTTAAGAAATTACAACTACTGGAGCTTGGTCTCAATGAGGGCCTTTTCCCCACACAGTTCATACGGGTACATAAAATCACTCTGTGCTCAGGGGCAGTGCCAGCAATATTTGAATAGGGTGGGTGTAGGTGAAATATTGCCTACTAATTTCATACGCTAATTAGTATTCCTTTTCATCCAACTGGGATTAGATCATATGCCGACTACCTGACGTTCCACAACCTCTTTTTTAGCGCCGCCCCTGCCTGTGCTGACTTTTGTATAAGAGGGAATGTCGAGAAAGCAGGCAGATGCAGCTTTTTCAACAAGGTTAACCTTTTACTAATGATCAAAAGGGCCCAGTTCATCTGAAAATCATACTTCACTTTATCGTGGGTTTTCTCCCGGTGCTCCGGTTTCCTCCCACAGGGAAAGTTGACAGGGTGGGTTAGGACCCTGGGTACGAGGTTGGGTTAGGAATGGGATAAACACAGTTATAGGACGTAATATCACAATTTTTGTAAATATAAAATAATCCACACGGCTAAAAACGCACAGGTTGTTGCAAGTTGATATCGACGGCATGTAGTAAAACACTGACTACCGGAACACCGGAACACCACCGGAACACCCCCGGAACACCACCTAACCCTAACCCCAACCCTAACCCCAAACCCTAACCCCAAACAAAATGGTGGTGTTCCGGTGGTGTTCCGGTGTTCCGGTAGTCAGTGTTTTACTACATGCCGATATCGACAGGCGTGAACAAAGTTGTGCGGCCCACTGTGAACAAGTTGTCAACCATGTTGTTCTAAGTTGTTACAGTTGAACAATGCTGTAACAACATGTTGACAGTACTGTTCATAGTGGGCCGCACAACCTTGTTCACGCCTGTCGATATCAACTTGCAACAAGTTGTTGATTTTCTCAATTTTTACTTGCCTACACGCGTAAAAATTGAGAAAATCAACAACTTGTTGCAAGTTGATATCGACACTATGAACAGTATTGTCAACATGTTGTTACAGCATTGTTCACCTGTAACAATTTGGAACAACATGGTTGACAACTTGTTCATAGTTGGCCGCACAACATTCATCACGCCTGTCGACATCAACTTGCAACAACCTGTGCGTTTTTGGACTGGCTCGGTTTGCGGGCTCTGATGACATTTCGAATTTGAATTAGTTTTATAGTTTGATCCTAATAACATTATAAAATTTATTCAATCGATCTTAATTGTTTGTAACTAGTAACGCGATTCGTCCCGGGTCGGACGAGTCCTTTTGTGCGAAATGTTTTCGAGAGTGATAAATGCGCATGCGCACACAGTGCCTCAGCTCAGTCGGTTTATTAAGGTTTATTGGGCCGACTGAAAAGGTGAAAACGCCACATGTTGTAAGCAGTTGTACATAATTTCCTTGTACATGATAACAAATTTTGTAGTTGTCAAATTTTTAATGTCGACCACTATAAATTGTCGTCCCGTAAGGATTATGACAGAGTTTGTTGTATATAAATCGTTGTATGAAACCTGTTTACTAAAGCAATTATAAGTAAACAATACATCAATGTTTAAAACAAACATTAATTTTTCTTTTGGCCCCGAAAGGGGCTGTGTTTTCACGGACATTTATAACTGACACAGAAGTTGTAACAAACCTGCAGCGGACGGGTAACAATGCTGTTCCAACAACTTGTCAAACAGGATGTGTTCGCGCTGCTTGTTCTCCCAGCTTGTTGACAAGTTGTCAACGGCTTGTTAACAACTTGCTACAAGGTTTTTGAGCTCAACAGACTTGTTACAAATTGATCCAACAACTTGTTATCGTCCTGCAATTCAACATAACAGCACTGTTGCAACTTGTTGACAAGCTTGCTGCAAGCCTGTTGCGAACACATCATGTTGACAAGTTGTGAGATTTTTACGTGTGTAATATTGGAGGATCCTGACCAGTATAGTCTGACATAATTAATTCTATATTCGCAAATAATAACGGCTTTGATATACATTCAAAATGACATTTCAAAGTTGAATTTATAAAATGGTGATCCAGGGTCTTAGCCAGGATTTGCAACTTGGGTGTCCAAATTTGAAATTTCGTTTATGACACCCAATTTTTGCCATATGGAACCATGGCACCAGTAATTCAGCAATGTGATTATTCCCGAATTCTGGGAGTAATCGGTGACCACACTTGAGAATCGCCCAAAAAACTAATAATATATTCAATTATTCAGATTATGTCACTAGTCACTACACTGACTACAGTAGTACAGTTTAAGTAAATCTGTGAATTTTATTAACATTATGTTGTCACTTTCATGCTATAAATACAGTACTTGTAGCTTTGATAAGCTAGTGTAAGCAAAGAACACAACCAGATAACAGCAAAAAGCAACTGATTATCTCATATAGTTATATTCTGCGGTTTTTAATTTGGCAGCTAGGAATCTTTCCGCTGCAGCTTGCAAGTGAGCAATGTTTATTTTCTATGGTATTTTATTCTCAGCAGCTTGTCTAACCGTCTATGGTCAGTTGGTTTCGCAGTCGTGTTTTTATGCGATTCTGAACGCTAAACACCCTTTCTGCTTCTGCATTTCCAACCATTACACACAAGCAAGTTGCCATAGTTGAAAACTAGGCGAGTCTATGGCCTTTTAGCTAGCCGTCCAAAAGGCGTCACCATGATAGCGAACCGTCCAAAAGCCGTCTTTTTTAGAAGGCCGTCCAAATTTGAAAATGGCCGTCCAAAAGACGGCTGGACGGTAGGCTGGCTAAGACCCTGTGGTGATCGCTAGATAGTATACTTCAAAATAAGGTTTCCGTTTTTATAACGTAGAAAAAACTATCCTAACACAAAACTAAACCCTAATACTAACCCTTACCCTAACCCCAACCTAACCCTAACCTAAACCTTAACCTAACCCTAACTTATTTTAAAAATTGGTATAAAAACGGAAACCTTATTTTGAATTATACTATCTAGCAATTGCCTTTATAAAATAGTTTAGAAGAGGTTGAAGCAGGGACCGGTGTTGTATCGCATTTGCTGACAACATTTCAGTCGCTAATTAAGATTTCTTTTCCCAAATTATTTTTCCGAAAATATTTCATTCAGGAGGTGTCATCCCTCTTACCAACGGCCCTGAACAGTTCATTCGAACGATTTTGTCATTTTTGCGAAATGTTTTCGAGAGCGATGAATGCGCACGCGCACACATTGCCTTAGCCTTGTTAGTTTATTGGGCGGACGAAAAAAGGCGATGTTGGGACAAAATATTTGGGACACCACGTGTCTACGTGTAACTGATAAGTTTCTACGAATTTTATAGTTGTCAAAATTTTAATGTCAACCACTATATATCAAAGACTATATATACTGTAAACCCGCACTGCCGGTAGAAGTTCGAAAATAATTGCTAGCTGTCCCGTAAGGATTACGACAGATTTTGTTGTATATAAATTCTTGTGGAATCGTATTTTTATTCTATGGGAAAAACCTCGTATATTTTGTATCAGATCAGATCCAGATATAAAAGTCATCAATTTTTAGGCCCTTAAAGGGGCTCGCCATAACAAAGCTATTGGAAAATCCTTATAGTCTGATAAAGATCCAATAATTATTGCCCCATGGGAACTTGTGGTAGTAAAACTTGAGATTCAAGAATCAAGACACTATCGAAAGAATTTTTGCATAAGTAAATTCTATAAAGTTTGCAAGTTTTGTGAGAAATGTTTGATGGAGCTGGCTCGGTGTTTGAATACTGGTCAAAATCGTGTAACTTGGAAGCTAAGGGATTGTTCATATGGAATGACTCGTGTGAAAAGAGTCAGTCAACGCTCTGCCGGAAGTCGTTGGTTTTCTCCGGGTGCTCCGGTTTGCTCCCGCGGGGAAAGTTAACAGGATGGGTTAGAATAAGCAAAGTAATATCTCAATTGTTATAAAGATAAAATAGTCGAGGCTAAGTAAGTAATTAGGTAAGCGTAATACTTGATGTAAAGAGCATTTGATCATATGCACATGTAAATTTACGCTATAGAAATGCTAATCGTAATCGTTGGCTGGGGACTGGCTCGGTTTGCGGGCCCTGATGACATTTCGAAGTTGAATTAGTTTTGTGCGAAATGTTTTCGAGAGCGATAAATGCGCATGCGCACACAGTGCCCGAGCTCAGCCGGCTTATTAAGATTTATTGGGCCGACTGAAAAGGTGAAAATGTTTGGAACGCGACGTGTTGTAAGCAGTTGTAGATAATTTCCTTGTACATGATAACAAATTTTGTAGTTGTCAAATTTTTAATGTCGGCCACTATAAAATTAATTTTTTCTGTGTTGGTGTAGTGTACTCAGGTGAATATGATATTTGTGGTGTTACTCTGAGTGTATATCCACTCCGGGCGAACTTGAAAAATATGCCCGGCCACGGTGGGATAATATCACTATAAAATTGCGGTCCCGTAAGGATTATGACAGGGTTTGTTGTATATAAATCGTTGTAGAAACTTGTTTACGTCACGTCGGGTTTTAAAGCAATTATAAGTAAACAATCAATGTTTAAAACAAACATTAATTTTTCATTTGGCCCCGAAAGGGGCTGATTTCACGTACGTTAATAACAAAACTACACATGTAAAAACGCAGAAGTTGTAACACACCTGTAGCAGACTTTTAGGAATGCTGTTCCAACAACTTGTCAACAGGATGTGTTCACACTGCTTGTTCCCAGCTTGTTGACAAGTTGTCAACGGCTTGTTAACAACTTGCTACAAGGTTGTTGAGCTCAACAGACAACAACTTGTTATCGTCCTGCAATTCAACAATTTGTCAACAAGTTGAGAGTGGCAACCTTGTAGCAACTTGATAAAATAACAGCATTGTTGCAACTTGTTAACAAGCTTGCTGCAAGCCTGTTGCAAACACATCTTGTTGACAAGTTGTGAGATTTTTACGTGTTTATTGGAGAATCCTGACCAGTATAGTCTGACATAATTAATTCTATATTCGCAAATAATAACGGCTTTGATATACATCCAAAATTACATTTCAAAGATGAATTTATAAAATAGTTTAGGAGAGGTTAAAGCAGGGGCCGGTGTTGTATCGCATTTGCTGACAACATTTCAATCGCTAATTAAGATTTCTTTTCCCAAATTATTTTTCCGAAAATATTTCATTCAGGAGGTGTCACTTCCCCTTACCGACGGCCCTGAACAGTTGATTCAAACGATCTTATCATTTTTGCGAAATCTTTTTTGGGGCGATGAATGCGCACGCGCACACATTGCCTGTGCCTTGTTAGTTTATTGGGCGGACGAAAAAGGTGATGTTGGGACAAAATATTTGGGACACCACGTGTCTAGTGTTGCGAATAGTTATAGATAGGTTTCTACGAATTTTGTAGTTGTCAAAATTTTAATGTCGACCACTATATATCACAAACTATATATTAACCCGCACTGCAGGTAGAAGCCCGAAAATAATTGCTAGCTGTCCCGTAAGGATTACGACAGATTTGTTGTATATAAATTCTTGTAATGAAACTCAAACATCGAAAAATTGAAATATTATTTGGGCTTGGAAGGAAAAACCCTCCCATAATCATTTTGTAATTTTTAGGCCCTGAAAAGGGGCTCCACGTTACCACAGAATTGAAAAATGAAAATAGGCTATTTTCTATTCTGTGACGTTCCACGTATATTAATAACAAAGCGATTGGAAAATCCTTATAGTCTGATAAAGATGCAATGATTATTGCTGCATAGGAACTTGTGGTAGTAAAACTTGAGAGTCAAGACACTATCAAAGTTTCTGTG